TTTGAGGGTTTCTTTTATGAACTTGTAGTTCTTCGTGTATTGAATTAACCAGTCAGTGCTAGCATACTTTTAAATGGTTGGAACCAATGAAAGCTTTTGAAAATAAATCTGTCTTGGGCAATATGTGGCAACTTCTCTTTGAGTAATAGATGGTTTAAAATCTAACTTTACTTTTTCTTGCTTATAGATTCTTTGCCACACTTTATAAAGCCAAGAAATTTTAATTTTTTTAAAGCCCTTATGAAGATAAAAGATACAAGATAATATGTGCTTGCAATTGTTTTACTACGGTTTCAAAAGAAATAAAAACAAAACAAAACAAGAAGTCTCTATCAAAGGTCTGGAAAATACGACTTTTGGATAGATTTTTCAGGAGACCTGTTTTGCATTAAAATACCAAATAAAACAAAATGATGGATTGTTTTGGCACCATTTAGGTTGAGCTTATGTGATGAGAACTATACATAAAAGACAGCCAGTTATTGTCATAGTTGACAGATTTTTGAGTACTGTCTAGTTGTTCAGTATAGTAAAGTCCCAGGGGTTAGAAGCTTTTCCAAAATTCTTATACCAGGAACGACACAAACTTTTTCTGTAACAGACACTGACATTCTCTTCCTACTTTATAGACATCTATAAGTTGTGGTCTTTCCTGGCACACCAAATTAGTTCCTGTGACTTTCTGTGTAGTGCATTATTGTTCCTGATGTGACTTCATTTTCACTTGCAAAACGTGTTTGAAATTTGCATTAAAGTATTGGTCATATTTTAATGGAGATAGATGCAGAGGTTTTCAAGTGGAGCAGACAGCTCAGGCAAAGAGAAAATGAGGCTAAGTGTGTCCTAGGAAAAGCAAGATGATGAGTTTAGTTGGAGTCTAGGTTATATCTAGGGATTCTCTGAGAAATAGTATTGGAAAGGTGTTTTGGGGACCTATTTGGAAGGCTCTGAGTTCCTGGTTTTTAATTTTTAGGCAATGTGGATCCATTTTCATCTGATAAAACACATGTTCAAGAAATTCCTAAGGAGGCCCCTGGAGTGACCTAGAGGAGAGGTGGCAAGGTTGGAATAGGGTAGCAGTGATAACAAGAAGCATACAATGACAGAATATCTTAATTTTGCCTTTATACTTTATATTTTATACACTTGTGATACAAGGTGACACATATCACTGAAATATCCTATTAATAAATAAACCTATTAATAGAAATAACAGAGGCCTTATATTAAGTCCAAGGTTAAGAGAGAAATGTGTGCAAGAAATATTCATGTTTGTTAGGTGGGTGTGAGGAGAAGTTGCCACCACAAATTCACAGATCTGGGTTAGAGATTTAATTGAAAGATGATTCTTGAAGCCAACAAAGCCTAATAACACTCTATCTGTATTCAGCACATCACAGTTTTTAACATTTATCCTCCACTTTTTAAAAATGGAGTTTCATCTTTACAGTAGTTCCATAAGATAGCTCCTAGAATCCTCATTTTATAGAAACTGAGGCAAAAAGAGGTTAAGTAATTTTCCCGGAGCATACTGGTGACAGAAACCAGACCCTGAATCTCTGCTTACAGGGGCCCTGCTTCCTCAGCTGTACTTGATGACCTATTAATTAGCAACAAAATGAATTTGTTTACTAATGTGGCCTGTTCACCATTTTCATCAAGGCTATGTTAATCATCCACCAAACATTTTTGTTTTCTATTTCTTCTGATGACAGTATGAGAATTGCATCATAAATTACTTGCTCATTATTATTGGCATTGAGTTAAGAAGAGAATGTAGGCATGTTTAGATTAAACATATTTGAATGAACCCCTGTAGCATTTCCAATGACAGGTCAGAACCTTTAAATGCTGAATAAATGTTAGTTGAACAGTGTTCCTGGGAATAAGAAAGATGCTTAGGAATGTGCCTAAAATGGAACATTAAATGATCCCCTAGTGGCTTGAGAATCACTGTGCTTTTCTAAGTACCTCATTTATGGCAAAGCCTGGGGGAGACCTTAGCTCCATGAGTTTTATCGTTTGTAATATTTGATATGTTTTTTGAAGTAAATTGAAAGCATTCCTTCTTTAGAAAGAATTGCTTCTTTCTAGTGTCTCCCATCTTTTTTTCTCAATATGTAGTTCCCAGTTTAACTTACAGCTTAATTCCTGACTTTCAACTGAACTCACAGAAACAGGATTTAAGGTTTGTCAGTCAGTTGCTTGTAGGAAACATCTGATAAGGATCTAATTGGATGATGAGATCCCAGACTTCTATCCAGAGCCTAAGTCAGAGCGGGATGCCATAATGGCCGGTCTTGGGAGAGAGTGAGTCTATGTTTCATGTGGGAGGAATGTTAATAATCTGTGGCCAGAAGGAGGATTGTGGCAATTTTAAAACATGGCTACAGATTCGTTAAGAGGTGGGTGGGTCTTGTCCTCTGTCCTTGAATCTGGGAAGGCTTATGACTACTTTAAAAAGTAGAGTATGACAGAAATGATGCTGTGTGACTTCCAAGATAAAGTCATTGGAGACTGAGTGTTTTGTGCTTTGTTGATTGCAATACTTGCTCTGGAACCTTGTACTGTCATAGAAGAGGTGAGCACCATGAGGCCCTCATCCTGGAGAGGCCTCCAGTAAGTGTTCTGGTCAATAGTTCCTACTGAGTTTAGTCTTCTAGCCATCCCTACCGAGGTACAAGACATGGAAGTGAAGCTGTTGTGGACTCTTCAGACATGTCCAGTCATTAGTTGAATATCAATAAATAACCTGCATTGATGCCACATGAAACAGAAGAATCACCCAGCTGAGCCCTGCCCAAATTATAGATCCACAAAATTGTGAGATAATAAAATGGCACAAAGTTTGGAGGTAGTTTGTTATACAAACTAGAAATGGATAACTTGAACAGAATTTGGTACTAGAAGTAGAAAAAATTTCACACCGAAGGCTGAGGTGGGGGAAGGCCACCCACGTGAGACCACCAGGGACAACTGCCCTTGCATCCCTGTGCTGCACCCTGAAGTGGGACTGCCACTGGCCGCCTGCTGGTTGACCTGGGACATGGTGAGCCACCAGCTAAGTCCGGAGCTCACGAATGGCAGCTGGTCTACCCTGGAGGCCTGATCGAGAAGCATCCATTTGGGGTCCAGCTCATCCCCATGGGAGGTCTGGCTGCCCTCTCAGCCGTGCCTCCCTGCCAGAAGTCTTTATGCATTAATGGTTAAGTAGTACCCAAGGGATGTCTGGATGCACAGAGAAATGTCTCCACTGATCTGAAAATACTTGAAGAAGTGCATGTATGTGTGTGTGTAGTAGTAGTAGTAGTAGTTATATAGTTCTTAAAGACGAGCTCTAGAGTGAATTATTATACAGATGATTTGTCTTCTTTACTTCTTACTCTCCAGAAGATAATACTCTAAATCCCTGCTATTCAGAGTACATGTGGTCTGAGTACCAGCAGCATTTATATTACTTGGGAGTTTGTTAGCAAAATAATATCTTAGGTCCCACTCCAGATGTTGAATCAGAACCTGCATTTTAGCAAAATCCCAAGAGATACCAGTGAACATTAATATTGGAGGAACACTGATCTCAGCATTGCTGATCACTATTATTACTGCTTCTATTACTGTCACTACCACTCAAAACCAGAGGAGAGCTCCCACTTGTTGCACCATATGCTAGTGACTTAAATACATTGACACATGTAACTCCATTTTCATGATAACATTGCAATATAGATAATATCATCCCCATTATATACATGAGGGAACTGAGGCTTAGACTTTAAGAAATGTATCCAAGGCTGCACAGCTAGGAAGCAGCAATGATAGCAATGATAGGAGTAGAACCTAAGCCTGTCTGTTTCCAAGGCCTGTACACAATCAACCTCAAGGATTCAAATATGGTTGATTTGAGGGTGACCTCAGAAGATACCAGTAGGAGAGTGCAGATATGAAATAGAGAAGAACGGGAGCAATAACGGGTACATTGTTGAGCCAGTTTCCATTCTGGGCATCTGCAGCCTAATCCCAGCAGTCTCTGGGACATGATTTAAAATTCATTTCAGGGTTATTCCCCTAAGCAATGAGGGAACTTGGGTATCTATACTGTCACAGATAAAGGGCTGCTTCTGGGGGTACTAATTTCCTGGCATTTCTGGGCAGCTGCACATGTGAAAAAAGTGGGCTCAGGTGGTCAGAGACTGTACGCAAAGAAATGCAGGTGCTGGCCATTAGAAGTCTGGCCAGGATTAGGGTGAGAGAATATGACTGGACGTTAACAGTGTCTACTGTACTATGCTTGCCTTACCTCATAACAATATTATTTAGAAGGACATTTTTCTCTTTAATTTTATTTATTGGATCAATGTTGTTACTTCTTCTTCTTCTTAGGGATACTGGCATGTTTTTTAGACATTAAAAGAAAATTTGAATAATGAAAAAAATCATATCAAATCATTTTACCTTAACAAATAAGAAGCTTTCATTTCACTGTGTTCTCTAACAGTGCTTATCTATATACACGTTATTATATTCTATTGTTTAAACTTAATGTATCATTACCACTTTCTATGTGGCTACCTAAGCAGGTAATTTTGCATGGCCGAGAAACATCCCATTATGTGGCTGTCACAATGCATTGAACAAGTCCTTTATTGCTGCATATTTAGGCTGAGAAATATAAGTGGCACAAATATAGGAACAGATACTTTTTTCAGCATGTGAGTGTAATTTAGTTTATTTCACAGTGACTGAGGCGCTTCCACAGGCTTTGTTTCATTCAAGAAATATGTGTTGAGGAGCTGCTACATGCCCAGCTCTGTGTTGGGTATAGTGGTAAGATACAGATAAAGACAGTCTTTGTCCTCCAGGAGACAAGTTTATTGTGAGGCAATTGGTGAAAAGTTAAATAGCAAACAAAACATTAAATACCATAAGAAGAAATGTGATGTGCTAATGGGTGCTAAACCTGGGCTGTATTTTTATGAGCTTAGAAATGTGGGTTATATAAAAGGTCACTGACTTTTACCTTGTTATCTTATAATTCTGTAACTCAGAGGCAGAAAATCCATATTGATTTTTTTCTTCTTTAATGACAGGGTGTAATTCTGTTGCCCAGGCTGGAGAGCAGTGGTGCGATCACAGCTTGCTATACCCTTATCCTCCTGGGCTCCAACGATCCTCCCACCTCAGCCTCTTAGGTAGCTGTGACTACAGGTGAGCGACATCCAGCTAACTTTTGTATTTTTTTTAGAGTTGGAGTTTGGCCATGTTGCTTAGGCTGGTCTTGAACTCCTGGGCTCCAGCTATCTGCACACCTTGGCCTCTCAAAGTGCTTCTGTATTGATTCTAATGAAACTTATGAAAGGAAAGGACCTTGGACCCTTGAATGCACATTTGGCAAGCACATATTTATTGGCAATGGGTGAGGAAGGTATGGAAGCATATGGTGTGATCATATAGTTGGCTGAGGGCCCCAGATTTCTCTGAGGATTTGCTTTCATGTGGAGCTGGGGTTTGAGTCCAGGATCATCAGACTCCAGAGCCATGCCCTGACTCCTATGCTACATTACCTGCTAAGAAAACTGAGGATAGGATGCTAATTGATGTATTATACAGGGATATGAGGCTTGATAAAGAGGTTCTTACTATAAACAGCAATACCCATTACTAGTCTAAAACGAATTTTAGCTGATTTAAGCAGAAAAGAAACATTAAAAATATACTAGATGGCTCATAGAATTTCCGGAAAGATTTGGGGCTTGGAGGTCATGTATCCAGGAATAATGCCCCATATTACATGGCAAAACAGACCCACTGAAGATATTTCTGTGCTGTTGACTACACCACGGGCCCCTATGACACGGGTCCTGCTTCTTGAACCCCTGCCTTGGCTGCCTCTGGGATGAAGATCCAACTATCCATGGTTCACATGCATACTGCATGCTCCTTGCTTCTTCCCGACATGGCACTGGATATTGGGGTGATTCCACCTGGCAGAACCTAGATCATGTGTTAGACTAATTGTCAGGGAGACCTGGAATGCAAATACCTGGTACTCTTAGTTCCCACGATGGACAAGGGCATTAGATTACTCAGGAGACCAAAGAGTGACGAATTCCACAACTGTTCTCTTGGTTCTTTCATATTTTCCTTCTCACTCTCTTCTATTAGGCAAAATCTACCCACCCTTTAAGGTTCAGTTTATATCCCATTTCATCTGTGAAATTTTCTCTGACTTTGCTAGTCTTTCATTTTATCCCTCCTCTGAGCATTACTTATAGCCAGAATGAGTTGTGAAAACATAATAGTCAGAAGTTGACTTCATATCATTAGCCCTGACCCTTATTGTGCCAATAAAGTATTGTAGCTAATATTATATTTGGTGGCATTTTTGAATAGTTGATAGAGAAATAGCCTATAAGACAGAAATCAGTGAGTATTTATAGCTTCCTCTTTTTCCATCCAACCTGTACTTCTTGTTATGTCTTTGGTTTTTATGTAATAGTCAATACTGTGTTGTTGCTATTATTTTGTATTTTCTTCTCGCTTTAACAGAAGGAATTCCTGAAGAAGATAGCAACCATATCTAGTCCTTCTTTTGTGATGTGCATAAAATGGTGGAAACAGTACATACTCATTGATTGGTTGAGAATAAGTGTGCCTAAAAAATGCAACGTTTGGTATGTTTGGGTCCTTTGATCCAAGTAAGTGTTCACTTGAAGTCAGAATACCTTATTTATAGAAACAGTAACAAAACTTTCTCCCTTCCTGTAAAATCTTGCTTTCAATAGGATTGATAATGGAACTGAAGCTTAGGAATGTTAGGTTCATAGTCCACATAGTAAAGAACCTTCTTTGAATGTCTGCACACAAAGACTGACTGCATAATCCTTTAATATGCTTTTCACAGACTGAATTCGATGGGAGTCAGGAGCAGGCTTTCAGTACTGAAGAGTTTACCTGTCAGATTTGTCTTGGTAAAGATACATACCTATTCTAATAACTCCTGTCTATCATAAGAATGATTTGGGCCGGGTGCGGTGGCTCACGCCTGTAATCCCAGTACTTTGGGAGGCTGAGGCAGGCAGATCACCTGAGGTCAGGAGTTTGAGACCAGCCTGGCTAACATAGTGCAATCCCGTTTCTACTAAAAATACAAAAAATTAGCCAGACGTGGTGGCGCACACCTGTAATCCCATCCTGTAATCCCAGCTACTCGGGAGACTGAGGCAGGAGAATCGCTTGAACCTGGGAGGCAGAGGTTGCAGTGAGCTGAGATCGTGCCATTGCACTCCAGCTTGGGAAACGAGCAAAACTCCATCTCAAAAAAAAAGAAAAAAGAATGATTTGAAAGACTAATATCTGATTTTCCCATTAAAATGCATGCAACACATATTTTTCTATTATGGTTTTCTTTCAAAAAAAGTTTTTAAATGATAATTTTTTAAAGCAATCTGAGAAATGTGCATACCCTCTAAAACAAATCTCACTATATGCTACACTTAAATAATTTCCAAGTAGTAGGTTTAGATTTGCTGTTACCATTTTTTTATTACCTTATTCTAAGCATCTTGCATACTCATTTGAAGATGTGAAGGTATAACTCTGCATCATTTGTACATTTAAATCTCATAAACCCTTTTCAAAAGAACTATTTTTTTTCTACTTTTTTATTTAAAAATATTTATTAAGCAGATTGGGATAAATATTTGCAATTCACATATCTGGTGGAGGATGTATGTCCAGACTATACAAAAAACTGCTAAAACCCCAAGAAAACAAACAACTCCCCCAAAATGAATAAAATATTTGAGTACACACTTTGCTAAAGATATATGGATGGCAAATAGACACACTAAAATGTGCTCAACATCATTAGTTTCTAGATAAGATGCAAATTCAAATTACATCTATTAGAATGGCTAATATACGAAGAAACTGATTATGTCTCGTGTTGGTGAGGATGTAGAGAAACTAGAATTCATAGACAGCTGCTGGGAATGTGAAAGGAAATATAGCCTCTGCAAACAGTTAAGCAGGTTCTTAGGAAGTTAAACTTGTACTTACCATGACCCAATAATCCTATTCCTAGTTGGTTATCTAAATGAAGTAAAACCATGTATTCACATAAAAAGCTGAATGTGATTATTTATAGCTGCTTTATTCACCGTCTCCTCAAATTGGAAACAACTCAAATATCTCTCAGCTGGGAATGGGTATAATTACTCTGGCAGATTTATAAATGGAATACTTCTTAGCAATAAAAAGGAATGAACTACTGCTACAGTAATAACATGGATGGACCTCAAATGCGTTATGTTTTTTTTTTTTTTTTTTTTTTTTTTTTTAGGCAGAGTCTCGCTCTGTCGCCCAGGCTGGAGTGCAGTGGCCGGATCTCAGCTCACTGCAAGCTCCGCCTCCCGGGTTCCCGCCATGCTCCTGCCTCAGCCTCCCGAGTAGCTGGGACTACAGGCGCCCGCCACCTCGCCTGGCTAGATTTTTGTATTTTTTAGTAGAGACGGGGTTTCACCGTGTTAGTCAGGATGGTCTTGATCTCCTGACCTCATGATCCGCCCGTCTCGGCCTCCCAAAGTGCTGGGATTACAGGCTTGAGCCACCGCGCCCGGCCTCAAATGCGTTATGTTAAGTGACAGGAGCCATACTCCAAAGACTGCAGACTGAATGCTTTCATATATATGTAACATGCAGGACCATAGGAACAGAAAACAGGGATGCCAAGGACTGGGGCTGAGGGGAAGGGGTTAGCTACAATAGGATGGGGTATGTTTTGGGGCAATGGAACTGGTCTATATCTTGATTGTGGTGGTGGTGGTTACATGACTGCAGTTATCAAATTTCACGGAACTGTACATGAAAAAGGGAGCATTTGACATAGGTAAATTATACTTTAACACAAAAAACATTACTAATTAAGTTTATTTGAGGACTGAACTAACTGGTAAGCCCTGAGAATACAGAGATCAATAAGAAGGTCAATCTAGCTGAAGAAGTAAATGTGAAGGGACATAGGTAAATATAATACAAGTCAGTCCATGGTATTTTATAATAGAGATGTAATACAGTACTAGGGTAGCCTAAAGAAGGTTGCAATAAGTGGAGCACAGTGGCTTGCACCTGTAATCCCAGCACTTTGGGAGGCCAAGGCAGGCGGATTGCTTGAGCCCAGGAGTTCAAGACCAGCCAGGACAACATGGTGAAACTCCGTCTTTACTAAAACTACAAAATTTAGCTGGGTATGGTGGCACACACCTGTAATCCCAGCTACCCAGGAGGCCAAGGCAGAAGGATCACTTGAGCCCAGGAGGTCAAGGCTGAGTGAGCTATGATCGTGCCACTGCACTCTAGCCTGGGTGACAAAGCAAGAGCCTGTCTCAAAAACAGAAAAGATTGCAGTAAACTCTAATATTGTCTGTATGTGTGTGCTCATGTTCTGGGGGGCAGGTGGTTGGGGGGCAGGTGTGTAACAGAGCCTTACAAGGAAGTGACATTCAGTGAACGGAAAACAATTCCTCTGTAGGTTAGGTTGAGTGAGGAACAGGGAGCAGGCATATCCAAATCACAGTGACTAATGTGAGTAGAGTAAATGAAGAGTTCTCAAAAAAAGAAAGAAAGAAAGAAAAAGGCGAGCACAAGTTTTTGTATTTATTTATTTATTTATTTATTTATTTATCTATTTATTTTTTGAGACCGAGTCTCACTCTGTCGCCCAGGCTGGAGTGCAATGGTGTGATCTCAGCTCACTGCAACCTCCATCTCTGGGGTTCAAGCAATTCTCTTGCCTCGGCCTCCCAAATAACTGGGATTACAGATACATGCTGCCACGTCCAGCTAATTTTTTTGTATTTTACTAGAGATGATGGTTTCACCATGTTGCTCAGGCTGGTCTCAAACTCCTGAACTCAGGCAATCCACCCGCCTGGGCCTCTCAAAGTGCTAGGATTACAGACATGAGTCACCATTCCCGGCCTGTGAGTTTTTAATAAACCATTTGAAATGTGTTTATCCAAAGGAGAAACACAAACAATACTGGACACATGCAAGATGTGTTTTTTCTTAGCGGCAGCTTCTAACCATCCTGGCTTCCTGGCAGGGAGCAGGTTATCTATCCTGTGACTACGAGGGCACACCCTGCGTTAGCCCTGAGGCAAAGAGATAATAGCATGCTAGACTGGCAGCCTATACTCTAGAAGGGTTTATGAGGAGGAAGTCCGCAATTACATATTTCTGGGCAAACATTAACCAAGATTGAAACCCAGATTTGAAGAAGAATAACAGGCTGAAGTCTTCAGACATATTCTGTAGCTGTTCTGTGGATTGAAACAGTAGTCAGACGCTCTGCTGACTCCAAAAGCTAAGGTAAAAGATTGAGATGGCAGTATATAAAACTTGGTAAGAAACCTTTTCCACACCTGCCCACAGAATGTGTTCTGTAACACACAGAGCATTGTCCACATATGAATGATGAGAAACTATTTACATTCATGACAACAGAGCTGAAGCCACAACATAGGGTCTATTGTTCACCTCATAGCAGTGACCGAATCTATTTATCCATGTGGTTTGGGAGCTCACCACTGTGCATTGAAGGGCCTCCTCGTGGCAACATCAACCAAGAGCATTTCAATCACTGTTACTACAATCTGAACAATTTGGGTTCCATGCTGTGGTTTTGTAATTTCCATTTTTAAAACTTCTTAGACTGAACCATGGTGTGTCCAGTCTTGGTTGGGCATAGTTAAAATGAAACTGTTAAACTAAAATTAGCTTGACATCAAGATGCTGCATGTTCATTTTCCTTGTATTTATAGCTGACCACAGTCATTATATGGAAGGCATCTAGTCTTTACTATGCACTCTAGGGAACAGGAGGGGCAGTGGGAGTAACCAAAAAAAGAACTACAAGTTTTTCCAAAGGCAGATGGTCGTAACTACTGCCTGAGCAGAGCAGTGCCTGCATCTTAGTGAGGTCAGCCCACGTAGGACTGACCTCACCAAGATGAGGACTTTTCATTGAACAGCTGTTTACTCTTCAGTTCTTCTGCAGTTAATCAAGAGTGATGAGACCTTTTCTAAAAGTTTTGCTTGGGTGCTCAGAATTTAACTTACATCACCATGAAGGAAGTATGTACAACAAAGCTTCCTCTTAGTATTTCTTCACCAAGTAATTTATCTACTGACATATCCAACAGATATGTTGGATATCTGTTGATAAATGGACTCATCATGGTGTAGAAAAGAATTTTTGACTAAGAGTCAGAAGATCTTAGTTTTAGTTCAGTTTTTGCTTCTAGTTAGGCATGTGGTTTGGGCCTCAATTTCATCCAATAAAATTCAAAGGGTTGAACTAAGATCCTTCAAGTTCAAAATTCTTATATTTCTCAACTCCTCGGAAGGAAGAAAGATAAATTGCATCATTCTAATCATATGTCAAATTAAACAACTACAGAGGAAAGAGGACCCATATAATCAATATTTTAGTTTTTTTTTAAAATTCCAGAATATCATGTGGAAAATCATCATGCTTTAGGGATAATATTTCTTGTGAGATAATATACATTATCCTTGACCTTGTCTAGCATTTTACTTTGAAATGATAAGCAATATATTTTTGGCTGTTTCGTGTTATTTCAGTTTCACTATCATTCATTTGACTGGGATATGTGAGTTAAGGCAGAGGTGCAAACCTTTTTGATAATAAGCTATGCTATATATCATATTTCTTCTTTGAGTTTATTAGCTCCACTTTCCAAGTAACAGCTTTCAGGTATGTTGTTGAGGGATGCTTTATGGGTTATGTCAAATACCCCAACTAAAATGACAATGAGAGATTGCTTACAATCCCTGCTGTTGACTTCTGAATGCATTGTTAGAGTTTTTACCGCATGTTTCTCTGATTATTCATTTTATTGTGTTTACTAAAGAAGAAGAATCAAAGGTAGTAGATGCCCCAGTTATCTTGTGAATAGTTGCAGATATGGAGAAATGGCAAATAAGAAAGAAATCAGGGCCTCAGTCACAGGGGAGGGTTGATGATGAGATTTATAAGACAGCAAATTCTGAAGAATATTTGTTACACATGAAAACTTTGTGAAAATTACCACTTACTTAATGACTCCTAAGGGATCTTCTAGATGAGGAGTTGTCAAACTTTTCCTGTAATGGAACAGATAGTAAATATATTATGTTTTGTGAGTCATGTGGTTTTATCCCAACAATCCAACTCTGCTTTTTTTTTTTTTTTTTTTTTTTTTTTTTGAGGTGGAGTCTCACACTGTCACCTAGGCTGAAGTGTAGTGGCGCGATCTTGGCTCACTGCAGCCTCTGCCTCCTGGGTTCAAGCAATTCTCCTGCCTTAGCCTGCCAAGTAGCTGGAATTACAGGTGCCCGCCACCATGCCCAGCTAATTTTTAGTATTTTTAGTAGATATGGGGTTTCACTATGTTGGTCTCAAACTCCTGACCTCGTGATCTGCCCACCTCAGCCTCCCAAAGTGTCGGGATTACAGGTGTGAGCCACTGTGCCCGGCTTCAACTCTGCTTTTATAGCATGAAAGCAGTCATAAGCGACATGCAAATGAATGGATGTGCTGTGTTCAATGAAACTTTATTTACCAGAACAGGCAGTGGGTCAGATTTGGCCTCTTGGGCCTTAGTTTATTGAACCCTGGTCTATTTTGATCATCCAGATTATTATTATTATTATTATTATTATTATTATTAATTTATTTTTTTGAAACGGAGTCTTGCTCTGTCACCCAGGCTGGAGTGCAGTGGTGTGATCTCAGCTAGCTACAACCTCTGCCTCCCAGGTTTAAGTGATTCTCTTGCCTCAGCCTCCCAAGTAGCCGGGACTGCAGGTTCATGTTACCATGCCCAGCTAAGTTTTGTATTTTTAGTGGAGACAGGGTTTTACCATATTGGCCAGGCTGGTCTCGAACTCCTGACCTCGTGATTTGCCCGCCTTGGCCTCCCAAAGTGTTGGGATTACAGGTGTGAGCCACTGTACCCAGCCCATTCCCATCATTATTAACATCAATAAGAAACATTTATTGGATCCCTGTGATTTTTGGTGGAGTTGGGATAAGTGTTAATGTTAAGAAGAGAAGGACGTGAACTTGAGTACCCATGGGCCACAAATCAGCATCAACTTTACCTATCAAATAAAGAGCAGTTTTTAAAAGAGAAAACCGGTACCATATAGTATGACGTTCAAGACAGATTCTCTTTTTATTCTACAGGTGTACTCTTCAGTTGTAACCCAAATTTTTAAGTGTTCACAGGTATGTTTCTTTTTAATTATCTCATGCCTTTTCTGATTGTACCACTCTAGGACAAACAAATTTCTGAAATTAAAATCAAACTCCTCTATTTAAACTCTCTTTTGGGAATATCTTGTTGGTTCTATAGAATGCTTTAGAAATCCCAAGATGTTGAGTGACATCAACATTCTAAGTGACATTCTAAGCTAAGTCATGGCTCTTTCTTATGATTTATGTGTGTTTGAATAAGTAAATATTGGTGAAAATGAGGGTATAGAGATAACTTCTTTCTGTAGCATCATAGGATTGACCCCACCTAAGATGAGTTAAGACTAATTTTATCAGATCCATTTGTCCTATTTCTACTTTCAAGACTAACATCTAGTTTTCCCTGGTAATCACTGACAAAATCCAACTCACATTGTTTTAGAAAATTTAGGAGATGGGTGGTCTTGTCGTCTTACTATGACTGCTCATTTTTAGCTTTGGTTTTGACTTCTCAATTGTCCTTCGTAGTAGAAAGCTAAATAAAAGTATGATTCATGAATTTGATTATTTGACATTTTAGCTTCTAGTGGGGCTCTAATTTTAGGAGTGAGAGATAGACCCACACATAGGCAGATATCTAGGGGTGCTAAAAGCATCTATTGTGCAATATTATCCTTTTTCTTTAGTGTTTGGAAAACCTGCTTCTTTGCCTTTGGGCCTATTAAAATACATGTATTTTATGTGATAGAGGGGTATTATCAGCCATTAACTTCTCATCACAAATTTGCTGATATCCTGGCTAGTAGAGATAGGGTCCTAAGGGAATGAGGCCCCAGAAAGATACTTTTAAAGAGAAGGAAAAAGGGGCGGTTTGTTTTCCCTCTTATGATCTCATTTTCTCATTCTATGTCGATAACACGAAGTATACAAACCTTCTGCAGCAAACTCAGTGTGTGTTCTCTGGAACATGATGCTCAAATAAAAAATATTAAGTTAAAAATGATCAATTGCCTTATTTTGTCAAATTTTGTGTTTAGCATGTGTAATCTTGATGCAGAGAAACTTCAGCAATGTGAATGGCAGACTTTACACTTACTGGAGAAAAGTTCTTTTCTGATGGCCAATCAAAACATACCAAGAAAATAGGAATGATTTGAAAGGTTATATGAACTTTATTTGACCTTTTTATGCAGTGTATTTAGAGATAAAACAGTTTTGCAGTAAGAAACCATGTCAGTAGTTCTCAGGTCTGATTTTTTTTTTTTTTCCTCATTCCCTAAGCTTCCCTGAATTGAGGAAATTGCTGTGGCAACTGAGATGTAGATATTAAGACTTTAGCTGGCAAACCCTGGGACATGTGTAAATTGACATGTCCTTAAGGGAGAATTCCCACTGCAAAGAGAGTTTTCCAGACCACTTTAGCTTTCCCCAGAAGTTAAGAGTGTACTCTGGCTAATACTAAGAATGGTCAGCCAGGCAATAGGGTGATTCAAAGAGACAAAGTCCGTGAATGTGTCTCATGCTGATCCTGAGAAAAGGGTCCATTGCAGCCTCTGAGAGAGAAGACTATGAAGTATCACCAAGTTTATATGTATGGAACATTTTGTTTTTAATTTTAGAAAATTATTTAGAAAAAGGTAATATGGGTAAAGATTCTCAAAGAAAGGGATTCAGAGATACTCTATTGCCAGAGAAGACTGTCCGTGGAGCAAAGGTAGAAAACTACCAATATTCTTGGATATCACTGCGAAGTCACAGTTCAGGGATATCAAAGTGGTTTCCTGGAAACTGTGTTGGGAAGGATTCTGGAGATGTTTGTCCTCAGGGAAAAGACTACTTTGATGAATTAGTGATGTCTGCTATAGGTGTGCGAGGGGGAAGTAATTGTGCATGCCCAGTAAATTTGCTTAGTTCTGGTTGAGGTACAATCTTATAGCAAGTTTTTTGATATCTAATCCTTAATTTCTTTATCTGTAATGAAGACAATTTTACCTGGTCTACTTACCTGGAGACCTGTTGCGAGAATGGAATGAGAGAGTAACTGTGAAAGCATTTTGAGAACTATAAAGTGTTGGGGAGAAAAAAAAAATCTTAGGTTCAAGACATGGGGACCTGTGAATTAAACTAACAAAAGACAGATTAACAGGAAAAAGACACACAATTTTTATTAATATTTACATGCCTGGGAATTCATAAAAGAGAAGTGAAACTCAAATAAGTAGTTAGACTTACGGGTTTATATACCCTTTTAACAAAGGAAAGAGCATTTGGGATTCAAGGGGTAATAAATTGTGGGAAGTGATTAGGAAATAGATGGGAGAATGAATGGAAGATAAGGGATATTTTAGTAAGATCTGTTTATGCAGACTCATTTTGATGTTGACTCTCCATCTCAATGATAAGAGCTGTGCTTCCCTTCCTGGTAAGGGTGGTGGTGGTGGTGATAATGGTGCACCCTCAAAAAGGGAAATCTTGGCCCTGATTTTAGGTAGATAAGAGGAGAGCAGAGAACTCTTCTTATGTCTATTGATTCCCAATTGCCTTCAGATAAAAATAATTCTTATGCTAATGTGACATATTTTGGGATGGCATATCCTGATCCTCTTCAAAAGCATTATTCTACACATGTGAAGGTTTATTCTTGTATTGTAGGTTGCATATTCTTTCCTCAAATTAAAATCTCAGTTTCTTATAAATTCACGATGAAATTGACCCCATTGAAAAAAATGCAATGGAGATGACAGAAACAAAAACATCCTTATGTATCTTTCCCAAAATGCACCTATCCTTTCACTATCAGCCAAGAAAGATAGGAATGGAACTAATTATCTGCAAATATTCCTTCACTTTCTCACTTTCCATCTGAGACTTATTATTAAAAAAGAGACCCTGATGGATTCCTGCCTTCAGGTATAATTACCTCAAAATTGACTGACATTTAAAGCACACATGACACTTTTTAGATTTAATTAGAGTAAATTGGTGGAATTTACTCGACTGGTGGTTTTGGGGATGGTTGGAGGCATGAGAGTATACTTAACATTATAATTTCCTGCTGATGCTAAGATTTAGCCCCTATTAGAAGGTTCTATATTCAGAATAAAATGACTTAAGAAACGAAGCCCCAGTGACTGTTTTGGCCATGAAATAATAAGCCCAGTCACTGAGAGATGCTCTGAGAAAAAAAAAAATTGCCACTGACAACAATGGAAACCCAAAATCTATAGATATTTTAGTTAAACAGTCTTGAAGATTTTCATGATTTAACAATGTTAAAATTCACTTGCTTTGCTATAACATTTTTTTGACATTGATATTATGAACAGCAAAAAGAAATGGAGTATTTTAGACCAATTCCAAAAATTATGGATAAAAACATATTTATCTGAGTGTCTGTAATGATTGTTTTAAATTCCTCCATATTTGTGGCTATTTCTTTTTTATAATTGTGTTAATGTTCTTTTTTGTCTGGACTAAGCCTGCTACTGGTTTATTTCATTAATTATTTTAATAAATCAGTTTTTGTATTAATCACTAATACTTTTTGTATTTTGGTATAATTAACTGATTTTATTTTTCTAATTCATAGTATTTGTTCTTCCTTTTCCTTCTTTTCACTTTCTCTAATTTTATTTTGTTTTCTTTTTTTCTGATGTATTGACTTGAATGTTAATTTATTTTTTCTTTCTTATCTTAATAATGTGTTTATGATTATGGGTTTAATTCAAAGTAGCATTTCAGCCTGGCCCATATTTTAAAATATGTAATGCATTTCATTATTATTTTATAGATATTTTGAAACTTTCGTTTTGATATTTTCTTTGGTCAAAGTATAGATTAAAAGCAAGTTTGTTAATATTTATGTGGTTGATTTTCTTCTTCATGACCTTTTCTTCCTTCTTGACTCCTCTTTCTTCTCTTCTTCTTCATCTATAGTTTATCAGTGGGGTTACAGTCAATAAAGTGTTCTATGTATTTCTAGTTGTTGCTTTGTTTCAGTTTGATTTATAGTCAAAATTTTATAAAGGTACCATGAATTCTTGTAAAGTAGGTGAATTATTTTTATTAGGACAGCAATTTCTACAGATTTATTATGTTAATATTAATCAGTTATAGAATTGATACCAAACATTCTTAATTCTTTTTTCTTTAATTGATTTTTCCATGGGCTAAAATTATGAGTTAGAGTCTCCTAATCTTACGTTGTAGTCTATTTTCCCTTGCATTCCATATAGTCTATGCATTGTGAAATTAATATAACTTTTGTGCACCAAGAAAGTTATAATCTCATTGTGGGTTATATTCTATATCATAAAGTTTAGTATTTGTTTTGTTTAACACTTTTGCTTGAATTTAGCCTTGTCCAATATTAATACTGTGACCAGAATTTATGATAGTATTACAAAAGTAATAATTATAAATTAGATGAGTAAAGAAAATGTAGCTTCTATATTTTTTACATCGGAGCTAATTTTCTTCCTAAACCTTTACCTTGTTAGAAAGAAAGAAAACGGCAGGGTGTGGTGGCTCATGCCTGTAATCCTAGCACTTTGGGAGGCTGAGGCAGGCAGATCATGAGGTCAAGAGATCGAGACCATCCTGGCCAACATGGTGAAACCCCGTCTCTACTAAAAATACAAAAATTAGCTGGGTGTGGCGGTGCGTACCTGTAGTCCCAGTTACTTGGTAGGCTGAGGCAGGAGAATTGCTTGAATCAGGAGACAGAGTTTGCAATGAGCTGAGAACGCACCACTGCACTCCGGCATGGGTGACAGAGTAAGACTCTGTCAAAAAAAAAAAAAAAAGAGAGAGAGAGAAAGAACGAAAGAAAGAAAGAAAAACTGAAGCTTGCCAAGTAATAGTATCCATATCCTTTGGATTACTTACTCTTTTTTAGAGAGAGGTTTTTTGAATTCCTTCTCCTCTCCCTGCATCTCCTCGAGATGACATTGTAGTGTATGAGGTTGGTTAAAGTCACACGGCAGGATCTGACACCATTCTCCTGTTCCTTATTGGTCTCTGTTGTACCGTGT